ACCCCCCCCCCCCACCCCCAGATCCCATAAGAAAAAACTCTTTCTCCCAGGCATTCGTCTTGTTATGCAGCGAAATGGACTGAAGAACTATTCTGGGTGCAATTCGAAAGGGAATGAAATATTGATGGGCGTGCCAAAGTCGATTCCAGTCCAGCCAAGTGTAAAACTACGCCTGAAAGGAATTTGCGGGGGGGACAGTGAGATGGGTTTGCGAGTGTTTTCAGAAAAGAAGGCAAGTGCCTTTGTGATATCTATGCAACAAGCACGTAGCATATGGTGCCGTTGGTTAAAACAACAACCAACATCAATTTCTGCTCCCAAAAGTGCCATTTCCAAAAGAATATTTAGTTCTTATAGATGTGTTGGAGGTATTTGCGTATACTGCGCTTTCCTTGAAAGTTTAAACCTGCCTGCGTTCGTTTAAGTGAAGTTAACAGTAATGGATGATTGAAAATCCATTGAAATCATGGAAAAGCATAAGTCAACTCGTGCCGACCAGAAGGATATTGAATCAAAATTCAAGCTCAGGGTCATCGCTCACTTAGCAGCAAGAACTTACCAAGTCTACTAAGACCGATGGGTTGTTGAGCAAGATACTGCTCAAGACGACGTCGAAGGCAGATTTCGGCAGTAGAGAATTTTCCAGAAGTTCCATTGTCGGCAAGGAGGAAGTAATTATGATGCGGATTCAATGCGGTCTCCTGACGACCCGCCAGGGTACCTTGAGCGTGGTATTGACAAACACGCTGGAATGGAATGAACATAAAGATGAATGATAGCGCGTTGGGGAATTCTCTTGAACCAGATATGTGGTTATAGTGAACTCTAGGAGACTTTTCTGGTTCCATCGATATGCCTCACCATCATTCTCCTCTTAAAGTGAACTACTGACTCTCTCTCTCTCTCTCTCTCTCATAATACAAGCGCTGAGCGAATCTCCATCGCCTTTTCCCAGCCTACATCAGTGGCTCTCCTAAGTTAGCACCTCGTTCCTGATAGGTCAGTGGTGTCCACACACACGTACCTTAAAGCAATCCAACTGTTATTTTGAATTGCCATATCAACTAGACGCAGCAAAATTTTGATCATTCACTAACAGTATGAGTTTTTTATGCCACTTCTATCACAACTACTTTCAAAAAATCCAGGCTTAATGAGGTTAAGAAGAGGAGGAGGCAGTCGGCTAGAATGCATATCCGAAGTTGGGGGTTTAAAGAGTGGAAATGAGGAGCCAGACAACTTACATCAGCGCCAGTGAGCATATTCCTCTGTTGCACCACTCCCCATGGAGCAATGCCCAACGCAACGATCTTCGATCCTCTTACGTGGACCTCTTCGCCCAAAGCCTCTCCAACGTGTCGGGTCACACCTTCCCGGGGAAAAAAGAACACATGAACACATCTCAAATACACTTATAAAACAGCACACACACACACACACACACTCAAAGAAAAGAGAGAGAATTTGGTCATTTTGTTCCCAATTGACCAATTACAAATAAAATGAAACTTCAATTGAACCTTCCTACTTAGGAAGGAGATTATAACATGGAAATTAAGGTGCATACATTTCCGAAATATTTATAAATCCAACTAAAAAATGAAGTGGTGCTAGATGAGTTCTGTGCCTAATGAGTATTAACTATATATTTGAAAACAAAAACTCATTAAATCGACATTCCCAACCGAAGGTAAGAGTGAAGGAGAGAAAATATTACTGTGCAGCCAAAGATTGGCTGAAATCCTGACCAGTGTCTTGAATTAACAATAAACTCCAGTAAAATCTCTTTCTTGTCATCTTGAAAGCCCACAGAGAGAAAGGCAGTTCGGTAATAACTGCAACAACAACAATATGGGAACTCTTGCAGACTCTGGTGGTCGAACTGATAATTTAGGAAAAAAAAACCAACGTAAGTGCCTGTTTAACCTTCGACTTGAATGCTGTCCGTACCTGAAGCCTCTGGCAATATTGAACACCAAGACAAATCGCAAAAGAAAAGGAGGGGGGGGGTGATAGCGGTGAATGGCAAGACTCACCTGCATCAAGACCATTTGTGATAACCCAGGCACCTGTAGTCTTGGCAGCTCGAAGAATTCCGCGCTTAACGACAGAGGCGAGTTTGGCCTGGAGAGGAGCGTTGGCAAGTCCACCGAGCACTGAAATCACCAGGGAGGGAACACGAAGACGCCATTCACGAAGAAGTAGCTCCACGACTGTCTCAGGGGGTGTCTCGTAGTTTATTCGTACATACTGCAATAAAAGGCATAGAAATGGTTGAGCTAAGAGCATGCAATTTTTGTTTTAATGGGATGGGACATGTAAAATCACTACGATCACTTGAAATACACTGGGGAGAGAAAGATTGCGTAAAATAAAAAGGTTTAAAACACCCACTGTCAGGTGAGACATTTGATCAAGAACTATAATTGAAACGAGTAATATGATTAGAACGTTATTTTCAGGGCTTGAAATATTTCAACGGAGAATTTATACCGACCTAATGTGCTGCATGCATTACGAAAGGAGTGATGAAGCCACCTACTTTTCAAACTCGCCCAAATTTTCGATATATATTGGGTGTCTTCTGAAATCAGAAAACGTAAGGCTCCATCGTGAAATGTGCGTCAATGGAGACCTAAGAGCAATCAAATCTTGGAAACTAGACTCCACAAGAAATTGACTTCTCACGCATCCTTAAGCAATTGAGAACGAGAACACGAAAAGTGAAGTCCAACATTTCGGTGATATCCTTACAATGCAATAAAGACGCCAGACTCCACCTTTCTCTACGTTGGGAGATTGTACCATCTGAAGCTCAAAGTCTTTGAGTCCAAGTTCTTCATAACCGTGAATCGAGCATAATGATTGGGGATATAATCCCACCTTCTAAACAAATGTACGACTATATGCCTCTGCATGGACTTCGTCGACTAATATGAAGTTCGGTGGTAATGGAAGATCAAGTATGTATGAATGAAAAAAATTGACACAGAAGAACTTACTCTCGCTTTGGTAGGATGTGGACCACCTTGAAATTCGACGGTTCCGAAAGCCGTCGTGGGTACTGCCCGAGTGTGGGTCTTCACTTGCCATCGTTCCGGCTCAGCTGGGCCAAGTGGAATCGTTGAATTCATTTGGACCTCCTGAATCACTTCGATGTCGTGTTCCTCCAAGAATCGACCGCATCCGCATCTAAGATTAGAGAAATGGCCCAGTTGAAATCTAGCGAAAAAGTCGATAAATCAACAAGAAGAACAGGATTTATCATTCTACATAATTTTGAGAGACCTTTTTCCATTCGGCTTTTTGCATTTTTTGTCTTTAATTTCAAATTTCAATTTGGGCCGAGATATCCTCCACCCAGCGATTGACAATCCACTGAAGATCTAACAAGCAGGAATACTAACACGGCATTCACTCTTGTACCCACTCAC